ATAAAACAATCACTATCACTACCATTACAATCACTACCCTACTACCACTACTACCTCTGCTGCCACAACCATTACCTTACCACTACTATATATATATCACCTTCATAAATATCACACCACCACCATTACCATCACGAGAACCATTACTCTACTATCATTGGCCACCGTCACCACTACCGCCACCGCTGCCACCATCACCACCGCCATCGCAACCACAACACTACCCACAAAAACCTACTGCCACCATCCTACTATCATTGATAACACCACCATCGATGCCGCCGCCGCAATCGCCATCGCCACTACCACTATGACTACGACTCACACCATCACTTCAACAACTATCAATATTATTATGATCTATATAAATTTTTAATTTATTTGTTACTAGTTAAAAAAAAATAAATAATAAAAATTTATTCCATTCTATGAGTTTAATAGGCATTACCAAATATGAGAATGATAATTATCATCTTTTCCTATGTCATTCCATGTTGGCAACCAAACAATGGAATGGAAATGGATATTCCATTACATTCAACTGTATTTCATTTTCACTCTCATTCCATTCTCACTTCATTTTATTCCATCGCACCAAACATGCTATTAGAGTTTGACCCTTGTAACAAAATAAATCATAAATTTTTAATTTTGTCAATTTAAACAATAATTTTTTAATTTATTTTTTATTTCCATTAAATAAAATTGACAGAAAAAAATATTTTAGTCATTGAACTCAATGTAGGTGTACATAAAATATCTAAAATACTATTTTTAATTGAGTTTAATGACTAAAATATAATTTTTTTATCAATTTGCTTAATAAAAATTGACAAAGGGTGTAAGTTAAAAACAAATCAAAAGACTATACTTTTTTTTTTTTTTTAAGAGTGGGGACAAAAGACTATACTTTAAATTGATAAAATAAAAATTTATTTTGTTGCAAGGGACAAACTTGGAATTTTTTTTTTATAATTTTCCCTGAAAGTTGTGTGCCATATTTTGTCAAATTTTTATTCTTATGTTTCCTATTCATTTCACCCAACTAAATCAGGAGGAGATCAAATTCATGAATCAAATTTGTTTAACCTACCCTCTCTGGCAATCAGTCCAATGAGTGATACTTTGATTAATGTATTACAATGGTCAAAACAGGGTTCACATGTAAGGCGATAACAATGAAAGTCTCTATCACCATTGCCGGCTGAATTTGCTATTACAGAGAGGTAAACAGAACATGGGAGTCTTCTTCCTGTGTATGGTTGAAGGATTTAAGGAAAGATTTAGAAATGGAAAGGAAAAATGTGTGTGAAATTAGGTGAAAAATAAATATGTTTTATTTACATTTCACCTACCTTTTTCATTTTTCTTTCCAAATCCCTCTTCAAATCCTCTAACCAAACACGAGATTAAAGGATTGTTTGGGATATTCTAAATAAGTACACTTTTTGACTTTTTATGAAATATGGGTTGGGTATGTGTTGGGTTTAAAGTGATTTGGTAGAGAGGTGATGTGACTTAAATAGAATAGTGATTTTTTTGACTTTTTTAAGGGATGGAAAACAAAACCTAAGGTACTCCACATCTGACATTGATGATAGTTTTAGATCTTTTGTTTAAGTTTGACATAATTTTTTATTATGTCCTTAAATTTCACCTACTGACCCTGAACCTGTGTTTAGATTATTATTGTTTTGTATACAAATTTAGTAAGAGAGAGAAAAAAAGGATGAAATGTAAATAATATATAGTTACATATCACATACTCATTTATTTTTTCTTTTTAAATATCTACCTAAATTCATGATCTAAACACAATATTACTATTTCCATGGTTTGGTCACATTTGGTGTCACGACCCCAAACCGCCCCTAGTAGTTTGGTGCCGTGATGGCCAGTAATCCGAGATTACCGAAGGCCAACTTTCAAAATCCACACACAATCAGAGTATAGATATAGGGGGCTCACAAATGCAGAAGCAATAATCCAAAATACAAGTGGTCCATAAGAGCAGTGCATAAGTCAAATGGAATGGCATACATCTTTACCTAGCTTTACAACTTGAATACAAATAAAATAAGGTACAAAATACATATTACATCTTGGAAAAAGGCTTCTCGAGCCAACATAAACAAAAGCACTTGAGTTACAAAACATGGAACATAATCTTCGGAATTGCCAACATCCTCGAAGCCGACATAACATGCATACAAAACACACATCTCGGCAAAGCTGACTTCTTGCTTGTTACCTACATATATACATAGGGAGGGCGAGCTTGGATACTCAGTGAATGGTATAAGTAATAAAGGGGTTAAATGAATGATTCCCGGGGTCTTTCAAAACAATACATAATATATCTTTGTCAAAGCCATACTTATCATAGCTTGTACAAAACATGAGATAAATCTTGTTCATCAAACTTGATCTTACAAAACTTACATACTTAACATGCGTCAAGTCTTAAAACATGGGGTGATGACATTCTGGGCAAAACAAAGCATAACCTCGGCATCGGGCACACCCGTTCATAGTCCGTCGGCGGCCGATATCTTAACAAGGGTGCTACTTAGGCTTAACGTCCCCTAGCACGAAAGGACGGTGCTACCTAGGCTTAAAGTCCCCTAGCACGGAAGGACTATGTTACATAGGCTTAACGTCCCCTAACACGAAAGGACGGTGTTACTTAGGCTTAACGTCCCCTAACACGAAAGGACGGTTCCAAGAATGTCATCCAAAACAAAGCTTATACTTGATACATAAAATAGGGATATCATTCATGCTTAGCAAATACTTTTATCCAAACAAGGCAAAGCTTTATCAAAACCTTAAGAACATAACTTTATTAAAAATACCACTCACATAGTTCTTAGGACGTCGGGATCAAAGCAAAGGTCCAAGTCCTACAACACATGGCAAGCATACTGAACATACTTCTCAAAACAAGTCTCATATGCATGCAAATGATCTCGGGAAAACATGCTGGAAGTCAAAACACTGTTTTACATGTCAGGAAGACATGTTGGGTACCAACCAGGTCTATGCCGAGGTCCCACACCTTCTGGCCGAGGTGTGGCTACCTAGGCTTCGGCATGCGACTGCGTGCCGAGGTGCGCGGAAGGAAACTAAAAGTCTAAGTGATCATGCATGGTAGGCCAAGGTGAGATACGATGCTTGGCCTAAGTGCGAGGTCTAGGTAAGAGTGATCTCGGCGACTACACCTCAGGAGGTGAGGTCTGGAGATCTGGGTTTCCACCCGTGAAGAACAGAAAGAACATGAATGCTAAAATCATAACTTCTTTATTTACAAAATCTAGGGTTTCATGCCATGAGTTCAAAACATGGACCTGGGTACCCACACTTGAACATCATATGGAAACAAACACTAAAACATGGATCTTGGCATGAGCTTTCGGATCAAAATGTGACTTTTCTTGAAGAACACATGAATGCCATTTTCTCTTTCTAAAACTGAACTTCAAAGCAATGCATGGCTTACAAATCTTATTCAATCATGCAATGCAATAACATAAACATAAAGAACAGCAAGAGCGGATCAAGAATCTAACCTTAGAACACGGATCTAACGGTTCGATCTCTAGGAGTCAAGCTTCGAAATCCACTCTCTCTCAAGAACTCTTCTACCTCCTCTCGAGCTTCTCTCTCTTCTCTTCAAACAAGTTTAGGAACAAAATGAGGGGTTTCTCTCTCTGCCGGCTGACTTAACTCTCAGCTCAGACGCGTGGCAGCGGCTGATTGGTTCTCCTCAAAAGTTGATGGATTGACAAGACAAGACTATGACAAAGCGTATCTAACAAGCTACTCGGTATGGCACTCCGGCAAGTGGTGACATCGGCTAAGGACAAGGCTTCGGCAACTAAGGTGACAATCACCTCGGCTAGGAAGGACAACACTTGACTAAGCTGTGCCACACCTTGGCCTAGATGTGCCACACCTCGGTCTAGGTCATACCACTCCAGGACAAGGTCACTCAGGTGCAAAGGTAACATCTCGGCCTAGATGATACACATCTCGGCCTTGGTGATTCACACCTCGGCCTAGATAATGACATCTCGGCCAATATGCCAGGGCGAAGGTGGAGGTCAAACAAATGGGTTCCAAGATACTTCTAGACTGAGGATGACCTCAGCTTGGAATGATCTAGGCATAACGTAACCTAGGCTTGGCATAACTTCGGCTAACATAACTTAGGCTTGGCGTGACCTAGGCTTCACATCAAGGAAGGAGTAAAGCATGCGAGCAACACTTAGGCAAATCACATGAATACAAAACAAGACAAGATTCATGAATGTAAACTTATCAAGACAAAGTTATGTAAATGAACATGAATATGACCATGACATGAATATGGGTCGTTACAGCAACTTAACATGGCAAAACATACAAATGTATGCAAACACGACTAGGACATAAAATGTGGGTTGCTACATTTGGAGAGTAGCATTATAAACTAATCGGAGCTTCTTTAATTAGCTCTTCCCCAGAGTACCATAGAGTGGTCCATTGCAAATTGTTAATATATATATATATATATATATTTGAATGGAGGTAAAATTTTCACATCTATTTTGTTACATGTTTTTCAGTATTTTCTCAACCACCAAAGAGAGGACTAAAAGTTGAATACATTATCTAAATCGAGGTCTCCATCCATGGAATACATTACCCCAACAATAGGTTAGCCAAACACAAACAAATAAATACTTGTGAAGGTCACACAAAATTAAAAAATGATGAAAATGTATTAACTATCTTTCTATCCATGGAATACATTACCCCTAACAAATACTTGAGCAGAGTGCTAAGCATTATGTTAGATAACCATGATGATGATAAAATTATGATAACAAAAGATATTACCACAAAATATTTCATATCTTAACACTAAAAAAGCTAATTAACAATAAACAAATTTTGACTAGTTCTACCAAAAGGGGGGGCAAAAAAAGTCTGCTCCAACATGCTAGACATTGATGAGATCAAACAGGGGACATACTCTCGATGAATCGGAAAGGATTATGAAGACCATAATGACAAATAACATTATCCAAGATGCCAACGAGAAAATCAATAAGCACCTTCCCTGTCTTCAACTTCACATTATAAGAAATAATTTTGCAACTCTCTAGAAAGAGTAACACTAGTGCAAAATCGTGTTCGTTTTCTTCTTTCTTAACACTTGCCACAAAAAAAACTATGGTGGAAAATAGTGCTCTGAACTATCCCAGGAAATACATCAATTAAGGGTGCAAGATTGACATTGCAATTCACATTCCAACTGCTGTAGTCCCTATTCATATCGAGGATTTTCAATTCCATATAATGACACGAAGGCATCTGAATAAGAAGCAAACGCCACAACATTCTCCAAATTACCTAGTCTTGTCTTCAGAGAGAATTTTAGGCCTAATTGGCATTACCGTGAGCTTCTCTGCATCAAAGTCAAATCTAGTGTGAACTCCTCCTTTTCCTCCCAACCAATGGATTGCTCCATTCCAAAAAGCTCCTCCTCCCCATAAACTTGGTCCAGTAATCAAATCAATCTGTTTCCAAGACAAACTCTCCGAAGAGTAGATATTAAATTTATCAATCCTTTCAAATACAAGAAAAACTTTGTAGTGCAGTGATTTTGAAGGATCAAAAGCTAAGTAAGCATATGATCTAGATAAATATTGACAAGTTTGAGGAAGTAGCTTGTATTTCTGCGTGGTCACATTACAAATAATATAACTTCTATTAACATTCAAATCTGCAAATTGACTACTCTCACACAGGAGTAATCCATTGCAAAAGCTATGAATTTTGATTTCAGAATCTCTTTCAACACCAACACCGTTAAGGAAAGAAAGTGTGGGAAGACTTGCATTGTCGTGAAGCGAGACAGACATGACTTGTTTCACGGAACACCAATAGTTGTAACAGAAATATAGTCCCGCGATGGAGTGGTTGGGTTGATTTTGGCGAGCGTGGTTGAACGAAAACTGTGATTCGGAGATGAGAATGAACCAATTCTTGGAAACATACTTGAATCTGAGTAGGGATTTGGGAGGAACGCCTGAGAGAATCTGTGTAAGAAGATCTTTATTGCTCACAACTGCTTCTAATGCCATTGACGAAGAAGAACAACCGATAATGGAATTCGTTCTGGTGCTGCTTGATGTTGTTATATTGATCATGTTTGCTTTGCAAGGAAGATCAAAAGAAAATACGTAGGGATGGGAATATATGAATTGAATCTGTTCGGCACTGAGGTAGACGGAGAGAGATAGAGAGAGGTGTCCACATAAACCCTAAAAGCCCTATGTAAATCTTAAACCCTAACCCTTAATATATAACAAGAGCATCTTTTTTTTTTATTATTAAATTTAAATTTAATAAAAAAAATATTAAAAAATTAGAGGTGGACAAACATTTAACATGACCAAGTTTAGGCCGAACTTGTACTATATAGGATATGTATCAATCCAAGTCTGCCTCAGTCCAATATCGGGCCTAATCGAGTTATCAAGTCCGCCCATTTAACTTAATAGATATAAACTATTATTTTCTTTTTTATGGACTACTAGACCCTTTTTAATGATTATTTGAATTTAACCCAATTTTTATAAAAATTATAATATAAAATATAAAATCAATATTTTTATAAATGGTTAGGTCAGACCTAGTCGGACTAAAACTCTTTATTTCAAGTCCAATTCAAAAATTAAATGGGCACAAAATTTCAGCAAAGCCTAATCCTATGGGCAAAATTTTTTTTCCAAGCCTAAAAATATGAAGCTAGATTGAGCGGGTTACGCAGCCATTAGGCCCATGGTTTCCCCCATCTCCAATCTTTTTGTCAAAAGTTTATCAATTCAAAGGGACAAGTATTGGTTTTCATCAAATTGATAATTTATCAAATTGTTCATCAAATTAAAAATAAAGTATTCAAACTTTTATATTTTTATATTTATCAATTTTAACAAAAATAAAAATTTGGGATAAGAGGGGTATATTTTAAAGGGGGTTTCAACGAAAAGATTGAGCTTTTTTCATGTTGGTCATTTCCATTTGAGAGAGTATTTGGATTTTGGTAGGTTCATTTTGGGACCAATTTTGGTGATTCAAAATGTTTACTTTTTAGGACTCGGTGAGTATAATGTTCATGCAAAAAATCAATATGATCAGTTATCGGTACCTATATATTTAAGTTAAATCTGTATTATAAAAATGAATGGTTATTCATCTTTATCTTCCTCCTTGTCTCTCCCATCATTTTTTGACGATTGATCTACTTCATCTTGAGCAATAGATCCAGTGACCTTATTCTCCAGATAAAAACTTGTGCAATGACATGGCTTTATTACTGCTGGAAGCTCTTCACACACTCTAACTAGGAACATGCTTCCATTACATTCAACATTAATCATCGTATTGATAACTCCATTATGGTAGTAATTATTCGTACCTTTCCACACTGAAGAGAATTTTGGCTATTAATATCATCATCAAATTGAACAACCTCACCACACAACTTGCCAATGTCTCTGAATGTATTAACACTCCACAAATTGAATGGTACGCCTACACATGTAAGCTACACACACCTTTCTTGTTCAAAGTACTTACCTTTCTCCTAATCTGTGATGGAATCACACCATTCTAGCGTCCACTCTTCTAGCGTGGATCTTGCCTCCCTTTTATGTTGCGGTGATTTGAAAGTTAGGACTGTTAGCCTTCCTCCTCCATCTCTAACACTTACTTTGTCATGCCCCAAACTCGCCCCTAAAAGTTTGGGCATGACCACTTCAGAACCGGACAGATAATACGATATATACAACATATGGGGCCTGAACGGAAGCATTTAATAACACAAAATAGTATAAATTAACATCCATCGAGCTCACACCTGTATGCCAGGATCTCAATGTGCCATTCAATAGTTCCTCCTATGATAGACAGATATACAAGAAGCAGATATATGCATTCACACAATAACATATTTGGGCATATATACAGAACCAGCCCCACACGTGGGCATACAGCAAAAGTATTGGTAAAGGAAATTATACACGACTAATTACATTAGACAAAAGATTAAGGACCAAACTAGGGGTCATTGAGGGAACCCCACAAAATGCATAAGCTTTTCCACATGGCTTGACCAGGAAGGGGTGACCAAAGCTGAACTAGGACCGACGTTCAGGTTGATTGCCTACAGAAACAGACATAACACAAGGTGAGCAAGGCTCAGTGAACAATAGCACTCAACAATTTAATGATTAAACTTAAATTGTAATATTTATAATGTAAGTAAGTGCAGAGGTCATATAATTACTCTTATCTTGTAAACATTTAATGATTACTCTTATCTTATAATGGAGGAATTAAGACAACACAATGGCATAATCATCACATTAACATGGATTACACATTCAATCAAGCCTTTAACTCCTTGAAGTTCATAAACACAAACCAATTCCGTGGAAGTTCCACTTCCTCACACATATATACATACATATAGCCATTTGTTTACATAAATGAGCTCAAATGTGATAGTTGAAGAAATGAAATGTAAATTCTCACTAGGTAATTCAATATAACTCCAACATAACCAAGTATTAAGAATAGCTCCCCCAATTCCTCAATTAACCAACCCTTAACCCCTATTACAACCTTAATTTACATGATAGCACAAGTTCTTATTAAGATTAAGAGAGGGGTTATTCAAAGTAGATTTCACATACCTTAAGTTCAAATCTCTCCAATCTCTCTCACTTTCCCAACTTTCTTCCTTGTGGAACTCTTTTCTCCCTCTCAAACTCTCTTCTCCTCTCACTCTCTCCAAGAGATATTTTTGAGTGGTGGTTTCCCTAAGCCAAATGTATAAGAAGCAGTGATATATATATATATATATAAAGTGAATAAAGATAAAAATCCATCAGTTTAATCATTCCAAATCAAAATTTCACAGAAAATCATATTATGACATAAAAATCATGCTGATCTTAAATATAAAATTAATTTCAAATTATCAAGACTCTAAGGCGTTCAATTTCTGATTTGAACATGATAATTGTAACAGATATTTCTCCTACTAAACAGATATGAATCTATATTCATAAGACTCATTCAATTAAACCTCACTTCACACAAAATTTCACAATAAGCATATAAATGCACAGAGTAGGGGACTGAAAGTATACCAAAAAATATGTACGAGGGTTGGGTTATTACACTCTCCCCCACTTAAATAAGTTTGGTCCCTCAAACTTGTTTTACCATGTAACAGATTAGAAATCTTAGTCTCACACTATTGTCCAATTCTGTTATAGATGTTCACGTAACTCCTCAGTTCGAACAAGTCACAGGTTAACCCGATATGTATCACAGTTATTCCAAAGTCCCCAACATAATAAACATCTCAGAGTTTTATCCAACTAGTCGTTTCGATGTTCATTTCAGGTATGTAGAATAAAAGAAAACAACTCCATATATTTATTTCATAGGAGCCTGCATCGAATAAGATAAGACTATCAGAATCCACCAACAAGGTTCTGCCTATTTAACAAGGTATACTTCATTCCAACAATCACAAATAAGTTGTTTAAGTACGTAGCCACTAGCTTCACAATTTGTTCTTAGTATTCCCTTATTTCCAAAAGCATTTCAAAGGCATACCATTATATTGGTTCAGAATTATATGTAATAGTTTTTAACAAGGTCAGTACAACAGAAAGAAGGGTCACAATACACATCGTTAATTCCTCATGGAATTACTTCTAAGCACAGTAACACAAAAAGAATCATGCCCGAATCAAACAGTTATGATAATACCAAAACTAGTATCATATACTTCTGCAAATTCATGCAGATGTGCCATGATAAACACTTAGTCACACTATTATTAGTTTGGATCTGAGTAATAGAAACAGGTAGAACAACCATCTTTTTGAGTAGAGAGAGTCATCCAAAGATAAAGCCAGAAATCAAATTCAAAATCATGTTTAATTAATCAATCATAACAGTAAGGTGTAACATCCTCCCTTAGTAAACATTTCTTCTTGTTACAGCACAAATTAATTTGGCCCCTTTTTAGTCATTTCAGTGTTCTACTGAGCAGATAATTCTTCCTTTTCCTACTGTAGGTTACAAGATCAACCACATGGTTTCATATTCGCAATTTATAATTATAGTGGGTCAGCAAACAACAATACAGAAATTATAGACCAGTCGTCCGACCCAGTCAATTAACATAAGCAGAGTATTCAATTACTTCACGTACGTAGGTTCTACCAGATCCATTCGTAGGGTCATAACTTCATTAAGTATCCTATAATCACATCCATCTAGATTCCATAATGTCTAAAAATTCAATAGTATAGCGGCAAAGTAATTTGACCAACTAATATCAGAGTTAAAATTCTTGGCAAGATCAGCTCAACATGATAGTAAATCAATTCGGGATCATGTCGTGCATATTGTACAAATCTGTATAAACATACAAGAGGAGGTAAATACCCAGTACATATCGTTAACCCACCATCAATATAGAATATTCCCATGTCCATTCAGTTTTTTTTTTTTAGCAAAGTATACCATGCCATACAGAACAGTTCATAATATAGCCTTCAATATAAAATAGAGGACTAAATTGGCAATTTGCAATATCCAACATCTAGAGATTTACACAGAAATATATCATAGAAATGATTTCTCAATTTTAAGTCATTAATATACAGAGGCAGGATTTTTTTTTTTTAATTCTTAGAGTAACTTATCAGATTACCAATCATTTAGTTTCGATTCAAATGAGTCAATGATTATCGATCTTTTCACGAGCATCATATGGATAGATACGTAATATGAGCGGAGTCCTTCATGTCGTTCAGCTGTTCCTTATAAGAAATCCGGATTACAGATTACAGATTACACATAAACGAAACAGACTACAGATTACAGAGTGCCGAGTACAGATTACAGATTCCCATAAACAAGTTTCGATTACACATAAACAATACTCATTAAACATCATCAATAGTTCCCTTGGTTCATTATCAGAAGTCATCGGTAATTTTGTCCACCCACAAAATCATATTAATTGTATGTTGTTTCAAGGTCAATAACCAACTTCCAAACATAACTAATGTAATAGTCTTTCCCCCATTTAAACAATCAGTAGGAAACAAATCACAAT